GCAGTCGTGTAATAAATCATGTTATTAACTCTCAGTTACAATTAAAAATGTGATTTCTAAATTTATAGGGACATACTCCAAGGCACAACTTCCTCAAAGCCTTTTCCATTACCAAAATTGCTAAAACTTTTCAGCCGGCAAATGTTGTTAACTATAACTTACGTAGATTATAATTGCAAGTTTAATTTTTTTCCCTTTGAAACTGTGTTACAAAACATACTAGTGATTTAGAACAACTTTCTAATACACTTATTGTAATTTCCTCATCATGAAAAAGTTCCTAAAAATCTGCCGAACACACAACCTAAAAGTATAATCTAGTGCCGTTGTTTTCTCAGTGAGTAGTCTAAGTCTAATTAACCTTCACTCTTCTATAAAATATTAACCTTAACTTTGAAAGTATGTAAAAAAATGAAAGGACTTCCTTCCAAAGCTCCACAAACCTGGACACAAAGATCCCAGCAAACATTAGTTGTAGCTTTGGAGCAACACTGAAGTCTTGCACCATCGACTCCTGAAACTACAAGATCATAATTGGCTTTAGTGCAGGAATACAATACTACCAAAACTATTTCACTGCAAATGCTTATTCTGCATAATGTGGCCATTTTATTCTCATAACAATTATAACCAAGAAGAATAAAGGAAAGGAAATAAAGATTCAGCTAAGAAGAAAATCAATCAAAATATACATGTACCCACTCTCATTATTTTTCTTTTCTTTTTTATTGTACAGACAAACACAGATAAAAAATACCTGGTATTGGAGGTGCTGGTCTTCTCTGAGGACAAACTGGACCTATGAAAAAAAAAAACCCCAAAGCCTTCTTAAAAGGTGACTTCTCCACACTTGATTGTATATTCATGAACTGGGATCAATTTAAAAGTGAGTATGTTAGCTTACAGGAATAACATATTGTAAATTAAACAACTCACGTGGCTTTTTCTCTGAGCTTTCAAGAAGACAAACCCAAAACTCATCTCTCTGAAAGATAAGTCAATACTTATATCTTGTGTGTCTTAATTATGTACCTGAAAACTTGAATTCAGAAACTGAGATATATATCAATGTGTTGTTGTTCTCAATCCTTACTCTTAAAACTGATTAACATGTAACTTTCCCACACTATATCAATGCAGAAGTAATGCGAAAAGTCAAACCAATCAAACAGAGTGTGTGATCTTGGTTAAACACCAACTTAATACACTACTTCAAATGAAAATGTAGTGATGTTAGGAAGTAGAATTGCATCGCTTTTTTTGAAATTCCCGTTAATTACATGCATTGTTAATTTCCTATAATAAGGTAATCCAAATAATATCGTTTTCATATCTGAGTTTTTCATAATCCAAATAGCCATTTTAATGTAATAAATTTGTAATTAGGAAACTCAAATACTCCTCTACACCTCAAAAATTATTTTTCTGAACTATCTTTGCATTTTTAGAAACTGTCAGTAGAAATAAATCAATAGATTGTAACAATGTAATATATTAGGGAGTTCACTACACACAAGAGACAGGAGAATGATGAGACAACTACACAAAATTATCTGACTTTTTGACGACACAAGATATATTTCCATTGCTCTTTCAGAATATTCTCCCACTACTCTATGTAATGTTCTCCTGCCACAACATTTCTCGACCAAAACCCTGTTGTATGCTGCAAAATTAATTCAATAATTAAAAACAAATTTACCTTTGGGCTTAGAATCCAATCCTTGTTCTACAATGACAAAGTGAGAAATTAACTGTAAAAATGCAAAAGGATGCAACCTTTTTAATTTTTCCAAAGAGCAGTAATCTTATGCAGCTATTGTTAAACTCTATCGAACCAGATCAAATCTGAGATGTTAAAACCCCTTATAGGCTCCTGAGATGTGTGCATGCAGTAACTAGGTGTAAGGCAATAGAGCAGGATAAAATGCCTTGCAAGAGTGGGAAATGGAAGGTTTTTGATCTGTAGGAGAAAAATTAATAAGTAAAGCTTAAGCGCAGTTCTTACCAGTACAGGGTACCACGCCAGAAGTTAGACTTTTAACACAGGAAACCACTTGTTGATGTCTTGCACAAAACTTTTGCACATTTTTCTCCATCTGAATTGATGGCCGAAGCTCGGATGAAAATACCTAAAACATTGAATCAAAACATTGTGCCCTTTGGTCACCAAGAACAATTACCTGTCCCATAACAATAATGACACCAAGCTCATGATGAATAAAAACACACAAAATGAAATGTAGAAATCAATTTCTTTGACTCTTAAGTCTGATTCCTCTCACATTACAAAAAAAAATTATATACTTTAGCTAATAAGTCTAGCTTATAATGATCATTTTGCTGACGTAATTATAATCAGTTAAACATTATAGTTAATAACCTCCAGACTTACCACTTGGCATGAACGCGTGCACTTTTGACTGATCAATACAGAACTTGTGCAACAATTTCTTGATGCTGTTTTGGAACAAAAATTAAGATGGTTTTACTTCTCACACAAAGGTAGGTATAAAAAAATTACTCAATAATATGCAGTGTACATGTATGTCACAGAACTGAAAGTAACTCAAAAGCATACATCTCTACTTGAGAAGGAAGTACTCACCTTGATATCTGTCCAAACATCGGTACATGGAACCCTGAAAAAAAAGTAAAAACTTGAGTATAAAAAGTCTCAGTAAACACCTTTATTATCCAACTGTGCTTTATAGAGTACAAATAATGCGCAAGACAAAGACAAATATCACACAATATTTGTACTCCAGAAATATCCGTAAAATTCACCTGCACTGAAATGACAATTTGGCGTGTTGGATAATAAATCTCTTATTAGATGTTTTGTTGTGTATTAGACATTTCGTTGGTATTTTGACTCGCCCTACTGGCTCGTCAAAATACTGCACAACTTGTAAAAATACTCAGCAATACTGGACAACAAAACGTCTATTAAGATATATGGATCTTTAAACCCCAATTGATCCCAAGAGAGACTAGCATCTAATTTCTCCTTACAATATCACCCTTGAATCACATATTACAGTCATGTGAATAAAGGAAATTACCACCATTACAAAGCTTTTCCTCCTCATCAGCACCTTAGAAAATGTATAGATAACAGTAAGGGAAATATGCATACTACTGTTAGGGTGTAGGGGCTTAAAAATGTCTTATGTCAGGAAGTTTGAAGACATGTCTAGGGGTTTCATTAATGTTTTCAGCGGGAGAGCTACTGGTTTTCACAGGCGGGCAAAACTTTTTAAACCGAACTTTAGGACAAACTTTCCTCTAGATGGTCAAACCAGGCGGGGTAATTGTCACCTGAAGAGCAGTTTTTTTAGACTGTTCTACAGCTTTGAAATAAGATTTCACCTCATTGGGAGAACTTGGTTGCTTACAACTACACTGATCTTAATTAAACAATTATTTTCATGTTCAATGTTCTTTCATACCTCTTCTGCTTCTGAGCACGTTTTCTTCAGATCTGCTGACCTTCCTTCACGACATGCTTTCCGACAATTTTCAGTCGAAGGAAGAAGGCAACAGGTTTTGGCAAAGTTTGATGGGTTTGTTCCAATGTATTTACTGATTCCTGCAGAATAAAATGAAATATCATGTCTTTTAGGGGCCAGAGTAAAAAGTGAGGACATCCCCACTGGCCAAGCTATACTGCAGAGTACAATGCAACCTCTTTGGTGCAACTTAAAAACTCTTCAATGAACAAAACCTGAATGGAACGTAAAAAAAGAAAGGTTACAAGGCCACTCACAAGCCCAGCAGCCCTCCAAGTGGATCTTTCAAATTATAGGGACCTTAAGCAAAAACCACAGCGATGGCAATGAGGACATGGCAAAACAAAAGAGCTAATGGATGGAACAATAGCTCAATACATGGGTTTTAAAACTCTGTACATTTTTTAGCCATTATTTTCCATTTGAGACTCCACGCTGCCCAAATGAATTATGCTGAAGTTAAGGTGTGGCACCATGGCAGACAGTATACACATTCAACCATTTGCGAATTCTGACTAAAAAATATAATTACATTTCTTAATCGACATCTTCCCCACCATTGTTACCCTGACTACTAAAGGTTCCTGATCTTTTCGGAGGGTGAAACATTTCACAGTAGGTTTGCTCCACCTGAATGGGATGCTATTCTATCCCAGGTTACGCCCAATATCTTGTCAGGTTTCTGGACAGTTCTAACAATTATATTAGGATAGAGAATACTGAAATTGTCTACATCTATGTTTAGTCGACAAATAAAATTTTAAGGAAAACACATTGCTGTTCACATAAAGCTAATTTCTGCACAGGCTATAAGAGGCTATGTCACCTGAACATAATAAAGTAGCTCCTATGTGATCAATCAGCAGGCCAATTTCATTATTGACTTAAAGTTAGACAAAATACAATGGCAGCTTCCTTGTGGATCACATGGTCTTTAAGGAAAACATGTTAACTCAGCAGTTCGATCTGCACGCAAAAGTTAAAAATAAATCATTATGTTTAAAGGCACTGAATGCTTCTATAATTACTTGTGTACAGTTGTAGTTTTGCAGTAGAGTTGAAAACATCTTAAAGTTTGTGGGGTAACTTTTGGTCTGAACTGCCTTCAGGATAATTAAAACTTTGCCTTAGGATACCATTAGCTAATAATTGAAAAGGAGGGTTTATTTAGAAGCTTTAATGTGCCCTATAACAAAGCATTAAATTGTGTGTGAAGTTCCAGATGTTTTAAATGGCTTTTCTGTTGGCAATAATGTTTACAAGAGATGTTTTATCTAATTGCAAAAAGACCAATATCAATATTTTGTGGTTGAACTGCTACAGAAACTAATTACTCTAAAAATGTTAAAACAAAACACTGTTGAAGAGTAAGCTTTAATGACAAAGAACCAACTTTGGACTACAACAGGTTCTTCATAATTTCTACCTCTTCAATTGTTTAGGGCTTTGAGATCTCCATCTCTGACTCTTTAAGGAATTCTCTTTCATAACTGAAGTGTAATCCATTAAGAAAATAGAGACACTTATCATTTGAGTTATTTCAATCTGTAATTAAACTATGGTATGAATTAAGGGAGTTAACAATCAATACAAAGTTAACATCACTAAAAGTATCAAGAACTTTACTTGAATTCTGTCCTTTAGAGTATATTCTTGTCCCCGGTATTTTGATTTGATTGCAAATATGGCACACAGAAAGTTACTATCATTATTTCTCAGGCCTAAATGAAGTTGATATGAAATCAAAACAAGCCCTCCTGCATGTTAATATTTAAACACATTACTCCCACAGGGTTGTCTTTCTGTTCTACAACACAAAGGCAAACCCATTTTGGTCCATTTACCAACAGCACGAGGCCATTTGGACTTTGAAACAATTAGACAAAGGAAAACAAACAATGCACAATGATAAGAAGTTAAAAACATGAGTTGAAAACGATTTCCATTAAAAGATGCTAGACCAGTTTCCCAAAATTGTTAACCAAACCAAACTTTTTGGCCAAACTGTTGAGGTAAAAACTTATGTTGGAAAGTTCTCTGACCACAAGAAGTTTTGTGAAGATAATTGTTTCTATTCTTGCATGATCATCTGAAACTCTAACAACATATTTTGCTATATACATGTAAATTTCTGTTCCACTGACTAATTACACAAACAAAAGCAGATGGCAAGATTTACATTTGTTGATTTTGATCTGATTGATGATCAACTAAATCTCTTTGACATCCCTACGCAGAACTGTCACATGCCTGACTGTCCTTACTGTGTAAACTGCTTTTTTGCATTCTGGAACAATTGAAACAGCGTGCTGATATTTCAAAAATGTTGCATTGTCCAAACATGACAGCCAGGGTGTGCAGATCCATTAAGACAAACAATTCTATACAACAAATGCTATACGCCATTGCCAGAAGCAATCCTATAAAGGCAGGTGTAGCCCCTAAAACAACATCAACATTATGTTTCATTCTCTACCACTTTAAAAGAAGTTCTAAGCTTTTTTAATAAAGACAATAAAAAGCTTTGTAGACACCTTTTGACACCTGAGAAGTTAATTCTCAAGACAGAGTAAACAGGCAATTTCTTTTCAAAAACATCTCATTATCCTCTAATATTTTACTTAATAAAATTATCCAGCAACAAGTTGGACACAGCATTATTGATAGCCCAGAAGTTGTCTTTATAAATGACAAAACCATGAAATACAACAATGCAACATAATTATTAAAAAATTTATTCCTTCACGCATTTGCTGTATTGTCTGTCAGTCAAAAAAATTCAAAATGATTGCATGATTCAGTGAGATTAATCAAAATGATAGTTTTCACCACCTTCTGGTAACAATGGATGGGGGTATGCATAGAATAAGCAAGATTTCCCCAAAATTGAAATAAATACCAGCTCTCTATATTATAGTGCAGGCTTGTTGGGCTGTCAAAATAATTAAGGACTCGTATCTCATAAATATAGAAAAATATCAACACCCAAGCTATCATTTAAGACACATTTAAAACTGCTATTAAACATTGAAGCCCTTCTGGAAGATAGCAATAACCAAACAGATGATCTACTTGAGGGAAAAAAGAAAAAACAAGACTGAAACTCTAGTGACACAGGACCTTTAAGTAAACAGAGTCCCTGTTGTAGAATTTGATCAACTTTTACCTTACTATGAGCTAAATGTTTTAGACTGTTCTATATAATTTGGGGCCATAATTCACTGTCAAGTGTAAGGCTTTTAACATTTAGAAATTTCTTTAGGTTCCCTGTCAAACGACAATAGATAGTTTGTGAAACATCCATCAACACACAATTCTGACATAATTTGACAGACAAAAATGCAAACTTTCTTAAGAATTTTTTAAACAAATTATAGTGTTACAATCCACTTTATTTCTCTTTAAAGAACTGTAAAGTAACCTTTGACTACAAGTGAATTCAAGAACCATGAAAAACAAACATACCTTCAGCTAAGTATTGTTCAGGAATTTTAGCGAAAAGAGGGTTTTTTATAATCTAAAATGGGAATTTCACAGATTACATTCAAGTAATTCAGAAAAATTACCCTCAGTCTTAATTACACGCAAATCACTACTACATGGGTATGACTTTCAACATTATGTATGGTTCCATACTCCTGACCAAATATGAGGTCTGTGTAGAGGAGAGAAATCTTTTTAAAAACTTCACCCTCTGAAATGACCCACACCTCTGTATGTCAAAAGGAGGTTAATTACTAAGATTTCCTTTAATTCCATGCAGATTAGTCCTAAATATTAGCACGCTTGCATCAAAATGCTTCAACTGGGATTTTTTAACCCATGAAGGAAAGATTATGATAATTTTATTCCACTTAGAAGCTCACTGGGCTAATACCTTAATGTTCTTAAGCTAATGGTTTTTTAAAAGCCGGCAAGATAGAGAGACTTACCGAAGAGATCAGATTTCTTTTAGTCTATTACTTGTAAGGAAAGTTGTTCTAAATAAGAGTTTCGTGTTTCACGGAAAAGGTGCACCTAAATAGGTAGAGGGAGTATTTTTTGTCGTGTCAAAACTCTGTTAACAATATTTAGCTTAAAATTAAAAGTACTAAAAGAAAAATACCTTTGGAATGCATGTATCAATACATCAAAAGGAACTCAATATTACTCTCTTGATTGAGAGCTGCATATATATTGGTTCGAGAAATGCCAAAACCTCATCTTTATATCGAAAGAAAAAATCGCTGCTATTTGACTAAAAAAATATTATGCTTTCGCTCTTACTAAACTATGATCCGTCGTAAAAGATAATCGAATTTCATTTCTATATAATATTAAAACGTACTGCTTTCCCCTGAAGTAAGGGTCGAAGCGAAACTTGATAATTGCAGCCACAATGCATTCCTCAAACCCCACACCAAATGAGCTATCCCTTTGGGTTACCGCTTATTTAAAACTACAACACACCACCGAATTATCTCTTAAGTATTTAGACTAACTTTGGGCTTTCGAGAAGGCGACGAAATCTCTTATCTGATGCGACTAGCTTACCTCAAATGGAACAAACGATTTGCCAGCACGCGCGTTGGACGTGAAAGATATCACGAGAAATCGTTGAACCTAATTATACGTTTTATTCAAGCTGGGACGAGATTTCAGGGCCAAGTCAGAGAGCATCAACACCCCATTAAAACAAGTAAATCCTTTTCTTTTCTGGAACAAAAGATCAGTGCCCAGCAGCTCTGTGGGGGAAATTTTACAAGAACAGATTGAGTTTTATGCCATTTGCCGAGTGCATGCGATACGGGTGTGACACGAACCGAACGCAAAGAAGAGATCTTAAAAATCAGAAATAAAAAAAAACGCATCTCTAAACGCAAAGATGTCAATTTCCTGTCGATTGCGATAAATAATTCATCTTCATCGCTTGTGGCAGACACGAAAAACACTCTGTGTGTTATCGGAGAAATACACATTAGCTTCGAGTCGACTGCAATAAAAAAAACCTTGTGCATGATGTTCCTCTGTCTACTAGAATAAAAATTACCATTCCCTTTAAGATGCGAACTTTTCATCGAAATACTTCAAATCCCTCTTTAACGGTTGATGGTCTCAAAGGAAACGAAAAAATATCCGTCCGAGAAAAAGACAATACAACAGCCCAATTAATTTTCCATTAGGCCCGCTTTGCATCGTAGATGATGCCATGTTAAAAGGTTGCTATTAACAGCGAGTAAGTGATAAGAGAAAACGCGCTTTTCCACGTGGACTTATCCTTTAACCATTTGAAAATAATCCCTTTCATCCGAACAAACAAAACTCTGCTCGACTAACAACAGTCAAGTTCAAAATTTGAAGTTGTTAAATCTAGGACAACGCTGATAAATTCTGAACGCATGGATAAACACTCACTCGCGCTTCGAAGATAATGGCGCGACCTTTCCAGACGTAGTTCCAATGAAATGTAATTCTCACCTCGTTTAAGTTTAATCACGAACGACAGTTAAGTCTGTGAAACTTGTAAAGTACACAAATATCCTAAATTATGCGTAACTTTGGCGCTTAGACGAAGGCGACGAAACTTAGACCGAAGCTAATTGGCCTATTATACGAAGCAAGGCTTTTATTTGCAGAAGTTATTAGTAGAAATTAGATTGACAATACAACCAGATACGACTACTTACTCCTACACATCTCTCACCTGGATTTGAAACGTTAAGGCACCGCCAGAAAGAGATCTGAAAGGAGAGGATTAAAATAAATTATTTTAGTGCATTGGGCGGCGAATTCGCAGGCTACCTCTCTCATTTCTTCGGGTCACTTCCACACAATTATTATGCTCCGACATTTGCACTTGCTACAAAGCGTTCGCACAAACACACCGAATAAAGGTGACATTTTCCTTACCAAATGTCCGGGACAGTAAGCCGGGAGTTCACGGAGCTTCTCATAGCGTAAACTTACGTCTGTTTCGGACTCCAACTGACATAAGGGAATCACAACAACGTACACAGATGTTAGCGGTGAAGCATTTGCCTACGGTCTAAAATAAACTTGCATACGTGTGAATACGTTCGCACTCATAAAGTAGAGCGAAATTTCGCACTTGCCTCATTGAAGGCGATAGGTAAATGAAGTGATCGACTTTTAAGTTCAGAAAGCAACGTTCTCTTTCAGAATCGTAGAACTTCAATGTCCCGCCGGGCAAGATAAAAGAGATCGTATGTAGCTTGAACATTACCTCATTACAGTGATGTTTGCAAGCACCAAATTCAGTAGCACTTCGACAGCAACTGATGGCTGCAAGATAAAACAAGGGAAATATTAGAGTTATGGAGCACTACGAAGATTTCTGGTAACGATCTGTGACGGCCAACACACTGTATTTGACGTAAATCCTAACCAACCCGCAACCGAAGTTCAAGGCACCGGAAATTTACATTCAATTCAATACGCGAAGATTCATTCGAATTCGCGTGGTTGTCCTAATTATTTCTTCAGTTAAATCCACAAACCGTGATTAATTCTAACAACCCAAAACCAACAGAACGACCAGTCCACAAAAGCGCCGACTCCGGCGCGAGATTAGCACGAAGCTAGGAGCGAACAAACCGCCAAGATTCCCTACCAAGCGCTCTCTCGCCGATGAAACGGTGAATGAACGAACACACGGAGAGAACGAAAAATATCACTTATGAAAATGATCACGGAATCTATTCGCGCTACCGTACCTTGGCTTCGGAAAACCGCACAGGCGAGCCACAGTGTGCTAAGCAGCACGAGCATGTTGCCGGAACAAGAACAGGAACTGCATGGACCCTCTCAAGCACTTTCTAGTCTAAAGAATATCAAACCGTGCATGGTTAGTGTTATAGAAATGATCGCAAGATATGCGCCTCTCAAACTCAGCCATTCAACAACCAATCACATCAAACGGCCAATTAGCGGGAAATTGTTGCCAACGAAATAAGCCAATCAGCGTTGCGTATTTGTCACGACGTGTGACGCTATATGTTGTAAAGAAACCCACTCAGTTTGTTTTGGGTTTGTGAGCTGTAATCGGGATAATGGATAAATCAGGATGTTGTGACAGCTATGAAGAGTGAAAAAAATGACCTAGTCTCTTGTTTGTTTTGCATTGTCTACTTTATTTAGAATCTAAACTTGAGTTTCTTAAATGTGGATTAACGAAGTTTAACGTGTTAGTCCTCACCGAAATCGACAAACGAGCGGTTGTCAATTTCTGGCGAACATTTCGCCCGCACGCGAATGTTTATCTCTGTGAAATTACACCCCCAATACCGGACAAGGAGTAACATAAAACCGCAATTCTAGATCATTGCAACCTTTGCATTCAAAACACTTAAAAAATGCCAAGACAAGCCCGTTCAGGAGTGTTAGGAGACGAAGATGTCTTACGCTTTTCCTGTCAATTTTCTTGGCTTACAAAAAATAAGCTGTCAATATCGTTTGGATCCTTGTCAAAATCCAAATTAAGCGTTTGGACCGAACAAGACACATGAAACATTATTCTTCTTGAAAATATTAAATCAGCGTTAAATTGCCTACACTGGCTTTTTTCGTGACAGGTCGCTACATCTGACACGATTTGCTGTCGCGACAAATGGTCTTTGCATTTGCGATTAAAATTTGACAGCCTGTCAAAAGCGCGAGCGCAAATGCATCTAGAATTGCTTTTCGATTTGAGGAAGGATTAACGTATTTGCCGCAATGATGTAGAATGGCGTATGATTGAAGATATAATGAGACTGCAAGATAGAAGAGGAATGCAAACAAGCCGATAACAGTCCATGCATATTTTCTGCTATTATCGAAAAGATTACGACAAAGAAGTTTTTAACGCATTTGCCTAAAAAGCAATCATTTGCATAAAAGTATCAGCTTGGCAACAAAGTATATAGATTTAAGCCAAATATCCTCAAAATCCACAACTTCTGCACTAATGGGTTTACATCTTCATAAAGCAAGGCTCAAATTTATGTTTATTTGTTTTTCCAAGAGTGTTTATCCTTCGCACAAGTTGTCAGAAAGTCACTCCTTCCATTTGAAAGCTCTTTAGCCCGAGGCGTTTCGATAAAAAGAGAAGGTTTTTTACTCTTGATAGGGGCTATTGTTGGTTAACATTTAAGATGTTAAAATTTCTCGTAGGTTTTTCACAAACTTGTACGCCAATTACTGCAAAATACTTCAGTCGAGATAAGAGTGTTTGGTAATGTGTGCCGCTTTTTCTTTTCTTCATGGATACACTCTGTATTTCAGTTGAAAGACTGCCGATAACTAATGGACGCATTTTGACTGCGGTTGACTGCACTTTGCTAAATTGCGAATAAATTTCCATCCAAGAGCGGGCAAAGTCCCAGTCATTTTCCACAACCCTTTTTGTTACAAGAAGATGGCATACAATATGTAGAAAACACTAAGAAACCAGACAAAAAGAAAACGGAAAGAGTCTGGATAGTGACTTTTCAACACTTTAGATTAATGTCTCCGTTTAGAAAGGGACTTGAAAAACACAAAAGAGCTAAGCTGCGGTTTCTTCCTGAGGTCATGGGAGACACTTATTACTTGGCTTGGGGCTCAATATTGAACCAAAAATCCCTTTATCTCCACATCCTGCCTTTTAAATATAATCATTTCTTCTTTCTTCGACGGCTATTTCAAGACACAATAGTTGTCAGTCGAGCTCATTAGTTGGATCCAGTAGTCACCGTAGTCTAGATAATTTGTCGTTCAATATCAACTTCACCTTTCATTTTGTCAGTTCAATGAAATTGCTTTCATGATTTGGCTTCATAAACTTTCGTTGTATGTGGCAGGTGTTTATCATATTTTAAACTCATTTCCACTAGGCAATCCTATATTTGTAGTTATCGATTTTTTATATTCATCATTAACAATTGGTTACATTCAAATCGTACTGAAGGTGCAGTTATCACTTCTATGATCATAAAAGTTTCCGGTAAATACGCCAGTTACACTTCCATTGTTTGGGAGGGCCTGTGCTTTTTTTTTCCCTAATGTTTTCATTAATTTAGCCTAGAGCGTTCGGCCATTCGCTACTGTTCTCTTTTTATTGTAAATTATATTTTTAGCGATCCAGTTTTTTGTATCGTTTATCACAGAACAAAGGGTTTGAGTTGATTCTGTCAAATTTTGATATTGCCATTTATATGTGATTACAAAAGGTTATGCTGCTTATGTTTCAAACAACGTTGGCCTGAATTGTCCCAAAATTCGAGGACTAAGACTGAGCACAGAAAATTTCACAATATCATTTTCAAGTTTTGCAGAGGAACACGCGTACCTTTTCGATTTTAAAAAGAAAAATCGTACTGGAAAAAAATCCGGTTCCCTATACAAATTATTCCAGTTTACAAAGAATAATTATAGCGATACTAGGATTTTAATTACAATTTTGTCAATATAATTTTATTTGTAGATTTAGGAAAACCGTGATTCGACTTCTTTTCACAGATCACATGGATTGATAACTATGTAAGTTTGTCTGAAGAGGCTGTTAAACAGCCTCTTTAGTTTTAACGGTCAGCTCTTCGATAGTCAAAGTATGGTGATAAAATCTGAGAGAGGCGTGGCTTTCTGGTGTACGTATCAGACGTTTTGAAGAGAACACTTCTTGGTTTTTTCCTTATACTAAGATACTTCAACAAAACAGAGGTCAATTTTTTCCCTACGTAATTCATACAACGATTTATAGACATTTTTACCACCAGCTGTTGTTTCATGTCAACTTTTTTAAGGCAGAAATGAAATTCAAAACAATGAACTGAGAAACTGGTACAGAAGGGCCTAGAATGTGTGTACTTGACTTGATTATGTCAGCCCCCGAGACAATAAAGTAGTATGTCGGTAAACAGCAAAGCTCCTCACTCATGCACATGTCTTTTATCATGGTAAATATAGAAAAACAAAACCCTAAAGGTCAAGATAAGGGAAATTGAACTCCTGGTCAATTCATCTGATAAAACGCAAGGACGCTTGGGATCGTGCGACGCCAATTTTTTTCCATTTACACACGGCTCTCTTCGTTTCGATTTTAGTTTTAAGCACAAGGTTTTACCTTCTTGCTCTTTCGTTGAAATTACTGAACTCTGATACAGAATTAACAAGATGACAACACGTAACAGTGACGATAAAAAGTGGAATGCTGATGGAATTTGAAATTTATTAAATCAGCTCAAGACAACGGCTCTCTTTGTGAAACCAAAATAGGGAAATTAAACTCCGGCATGTCTTTCTCTCTTCGAAATAACCGGCAGACATGACGAATGGAAAGATATGACATAGAAATCATTACGGTATGCATAAAAGATTTTCATGAACCACATAAACTTAAGTCAGTGCTACCGTGCTCAAATTGTTATGTTGTAGGTTGGGTTCTGGAGGAAGTTTAGTTTGAGAAATTCTGCCGCCTCTAATTATTTTGTTTCCTTAGACAGTTCTAACGTTTCCTACCATGACAACTTTACGTCAACAAGATAGCCACAAAATTCATCTCCGTAATCTTAGAGCCGTGCAGAGTGCGCATTCATCTCCGAGTAGTTCCCCTACTATTAAAATATTCCCCTATTAAATGTTCCCCTATTAAAATATTCTCGTCTGGAAATCTCTTTCAAAAAATAAAAACCAAGAAACCTTGAGTTTCTGTACTATAAGTTTATTTTCCTTTTTTCCCCTTTTTTTCACAGTACTCGGTAATATATGGTTTCTGGAAATTTCAGTCATTCCTCACCCCTCAAATTTACTTAAAACAGTCAAGTCAAACGAGATCAAAGAAAGGCTTACCTTTTGGAAGAGTGTAAAGAAAATAAGAGAAGGAAGTGAAGACCAGAGAGTTTTATCAAAAACTTAGTGATCTTGTGAGGCAATTTATATGATACAGCAAAATATTCCGCTGAGGGTTCTCTAAAATAGAATTAAACCTAGCACGGACTTGTCTCTTTATAGTTGTTCTCAAATCACCAAGAGCAGTTCTACAAAACCGCTTCCATGGTTACCCTCAATTAACGATCCACGTGTTGTGAGCATCCTTAAAGTATCTCATGAACATTTTCATGACAGGTGGTTCGTTTAAGAGAAAATTGCTAACTCACTCAACTAGTGCACCGAGGAATGTCATTATATAGCGATCTTTTTTCATGACATTATTTATAACCTCCAAAGATTACCGGTACAGTAAAGCGGAGAAGACAATTCGAACGCACAGTAGTTGGTAGTTGAAATTATAAACTGGAATAAAGAAATCGGTGTAAAATCACGTTGGTCCACATTGAATTACACGGATGAAAAGGGCGAAGATGCGATTGAAGTTGCGAGGTTATGATTGAAGGTAGTGGCTGCATTTGTGGTTTGAACTAAAAGAAAATACAGCAGAGACTAAACAAAGAGAAATACCCAAGGAAATGTTACAGTTACCTTACTGACGGTGAAGCGACTATAAAGACCTATGAAACGAACTGAATGGGAGAAAAATAAAAGAGCAAAAAAGGAAAATATCGTAAATATAATATAAAGAAAGACTTACTCTGGTCTAACTCCTAACGATAGCATGTAATACTTTGATACAGATGCCATAAGTTAAAAGCGGATAATATAAGTTGATAGCGATAGCAGCAACCCAGCCTATAACGATGAAAAATGAAATATCTAATACGCGCGCTTAAATAAAACTGATGGAAATAACGAAATTCCTAGTAATAATAAGTGTCTAACAAAGGATAAATAAACCAGAACAAAACATAAGAGAAAAGTACACGAACTGCGCCTTTCCAAACTAACATTATCCAATAGTCAATTCTG